GACAGCAGGAGGAGATAAAATATTGACCAGAGTTTCATAGTAGGTCTTTCTAGGTTTGAGAATGGGAGACTACTTCCCTGCCTTATATTACCTAGGCTCATAGATTTAGAATGAGGAGAGATATTAGAGACAATATAATCAAACCTTTTCATTGTATAAGTGAAAAAACTGAGACCAGAGGTTAAGTGATTTTCCCAAAGTCACAATGGCAAGATTTGAGTCCAGGTTCCCTGACTCCAAATCCAGCATGCTTTCCATTATGTTACACTGTCTCAAAGGATGAAGGCTTTTAATTCCAACATAACAGAAATTATGTGTATACCAGGGCCTGAGTAAAATGACCAAGAGACTAGATTTTATTAGGAAATTTAGTGTTAGGAAATTCTATCAGTCAGTTGATTTTTGAGCAATCTGATAATTCCTGAACCCCGCTATGCACATTGTAAACTTTACACTTTCCTTGTTAATAAATCCTTCACATAAAGTTGAACCATGACTGGCAGCTTAGGAGGGGATAGAAGGGCAGACGTGTGACATAGGAGACATTTAGAGTAGAAGCAAAAATCCAGAGAATATACAAAGGATGAGAATATAATGGGGTGCTAAGTTCCAAAACTGGTTAAATTGGTAAAAACAAAGAGAGATTTGGGGCAAAATCCTTACACTGCTACGGATCCCTCAGAATTCCTTTAGATTTGTGACCTAAACTTACCAATGATATCATAATTGTGGAACCAAAGACTGCCTATCCTTTTGCTTTAAAAAACTTGGCCTACCAAAATTACCCTTGCACTTCTACTAGAAGGCAGAAAAGTGGGAAAGGGATTTTCTCTCCTCCACTCTCCATCTACACCTCCATAGCCATAGTACCTTGTGGCTGAGCTACTCACCCACTCACAAGGTCTTTCAACCTTGGGCCCAGGGTGACCCAAACTCCCAAACCATTTCTCCCCTACCACTGCTACATCTTGGCCTCGCAGGTGGAAATCCACATGAAGGACTGGGAGAAAGGGTGGTGGAATATTTGGGGAAATGAATAGAACTCCCAACTTTCCTCTCTACTCTGGATTCATTCCCACCTCTACAAGGCTCTGTATCATGTTATTCTCTCCAAATGCTCCTATTGAAAATTTCCCTATTCTTCATTTACCCTTTTCATTCAGTCACCCAAGCCTCCCTGCTTCCAAATCTAGGCTTCCCATCAAACAGGCCTTCATGTTCCCCTTTTGCATCCCTCTGGTTTCCAGACTTTCCCCCACCTCAAGATCTGCTATACCCCATGTATCTTTCTTGCAATCACCCTCCTAAACCATAGATAACCTAGAATACTTGCTGATAGCTGTGGGTTGCTAGCCCAGGTCTGATTCAAGGGCTAGGTCAGAGCAGTTCTGGCTATGGGATGCAGGAGGAGGAAAGGTGGTATAGCCAGTGGGGGAGGTGAGAAGGGGAGCAGATAGGTCAGTGGCTTCCCATTTTGGAGCCATTGGAAGGTGAAAGGGGGCTGGCCTGAAGCTTGGCAGCTTAGCCTGGCTAGGCTCAACCATCTGATGAACAGGTCCTCAGGATGAAAAAGGACTTGGGGTGGGGAGTCCTTGGCCATAGAGTCTAGGTGAGGAAGCAGGGAGTAGAGCTCAGCTGAAGACCCTTAAGATATTACAACTATCATATTTCTCATTTGTATGTTATCTTCATATGTGTGCATTTACTATTAGTATACATCAAGTCCCCAAATCCCTGGGTTATAAACCTTCCCATCCCACCCCTCTCATTGTAGTCAAGGAGTCCAGTAGACCATATATTCTTCCTCAACTCACCAAGCAGAGCCACCTCTGGGCAACAGAATCCTTCACCTCTCTTCTTTAGCAGGGTTTAATCAAAAGGCAAGTACATAAGAGAGAGATCAGAGAAGAGGAGAAAAGAAGAGGGGGGCCCTATCCATCAGTCTAAACTCACCTGTGATAAACAGGAGCAGGAAAGACAGGGCCAAACCAGCCCCTGGGATTCTCATTCCTTCTGGGTTCATCCCTGGTCTCAGTTCTCCACACAAGGCCCAAGGGACCCCTGGCTCCATTAGAACCTTCTGTCTTATCCAGTTTGTCTAGCTGCTCTGAGCTCACTGGGGGAGGGGGGAAGAGGAAAGGGAGGAGGATGGCTGGGCGGGGCACCGGTTGTTTGTAACCATGAATCCTGCCCTAAGAGGGAAGCAGCATTGAGGAAATCGTTACTTCCTGCCTGGCCCAGTTACAGGGACTAATCTCCTTGGGAGTACTAAGGAAAAAGATAGGAGGAGTCAAATTCTCTAATCTTGATCTTTTAGACTTGCCCTTGTCCCCTGGTCTTTGCCTTGACCTGTACTCTCCCACCCCCCACCCCCATCCACTAACTCTAATGCTAACCTTAACCCCAAGAGGGCAGAATTAAGAGTAATAGGTGGAAGTTGGAAAAGGGTAAATAGGTTTGATGTCAAGAAAAAAAACTGATTAGAATTATACAAAAGTGGAATGGACTGCTTTGGGAGGTAGGAGGTTCCCTTTCACTGAAGATCTTCAAGGAGAGGCTGGATGACCACTTGACAGGTATTTTGTAATGGGAATTCTTCTGGGAATGGTTTATTGGTCACTGATGTCCCTTCTCATTCCAAAATTTTGTAATTCTATGATCATTAATCTTTTAACCTTAGTCTTCTAAACATTCTTCTTGAAGTCTCTGAACCACGAACCCATTGGTCCCCAGGTCACTTCTTTCAGGGGCAGAAGGAGAGAGGGGGGGCAGCAAAAGCATAGCCCCATGGCACCATAGCAAGGAGATTAGTGGGGATGTATTGGTGAAATATGATGAGTGTAGTGGAGCTATGTGGAAGTTGGGCTGGGGAAAGGACAGATAAGTATGTTTTTGTGTGACTCCCAGACTTCACTTTCTAGAGAAAGACCAATAACAGGTAGGTATGGTTGAGTGGGGAGATCCATTGACTTGGGAGGGGCACAACCTTACAACAGGGCACCCACTCAATACAGTCTATATTTAGTACAGTTAGAGTTTGAGGTCTTATGTCTTAGCCTGAGAATGAAATAGCTCCTAAAAACTCCTTACATCCTTCCTCTCTTCTGTTCCTCTTCACAGCATCTATTTTTTTCCTCTCAGAGGCAGGCAAATCTTCTGCTTATGACTCCTTTCCTCCCAGGTCTGGAATCTCAGCCATTTCCTGGAGGTGACTGAGGGAAGGCCTAGGCTAAGTTCTGGGGTCTTAATCGAGGAACTTCTAATGATGTTACCCATTATTCTCTGATACTTCTTCTACAGGGCCCCTATACCTAACATTTCTTTTTCCCCAACCACAGACAAGCTAACCTATACCTTTATAGACTGAGACCAGGAAAAAGGAGATAGAGACAGAAGGGAGAAATACATAGAGATAGCTGAACTTGCTGCCATGGATCAGTAAAAGAGATACATGGGTGTTACAAACTCTATGTTTTGGAATTCTTCAAATGCGCTGATAATTTTGTTGAAAACTCCGTTGCCTTTCCCCTATAAATTTTGTTACTGCCACCTCCTGAACTAAGGTCTAGTCTATTCTACTACCACATTACAAAGTAAGGAGGGGCTTAGGAAAAGAGTTCATACAAGTTTCACTTTATTTCTTCTTAAAAATTAAAAAAAAAAATTTTAACAGACTAGTGATATAATTGGTATGGGAAACTCTCAGTGAAGAACTCCAAATGCCAGAACAAATCAACATCAGCTCTGCAACTGATGGCCTTAAGGAATTGTTTGGGACATTGAGAAATTAAGTGATTTGCCCTATGTTACACAGTCAGTGAGTCTCACTTTTAATTGATTTGATGATGCTCAGGCTTTTAGGATCCTGTCCTCATCTCTTTTATATTCTGGAAAGGAGATCAAAGGATGTCTCAGTGAAAATAAGATAAGGATAAATATTATGGGGTCTCAGGTCTGAGATCATCTTTTTCCTAATATGGGCAGAGTGAAAGAACAGTGGGGATCTAAGAGATAATTTTGGCTTTAAGAATTCCATCCCTTTTAGCTGTGTGACCCTGGGCAAGTCACTTAACCCCACTGCCTAACCAAATAATAAAAAAAAAAAGAATTCCATCCCCTTAAAATAGGCACTATTGTTAAAGAGTTTCCCTCAGCATAGCTTGTTCCCCTTCCTAGGTTTGGGATATCCAAGGTCACAGGACTGACTTGTCTCTCACACTTAAGCCAGATCATAGGACATCTTCTATCAGATTTCTTCTCCTTAGGACATTAGGGCACCTGTTCCAGGGTCCCCTACTCCAACCATCTCAGGTCTGGCACACATGGTTGTAACTTGTGTCAGGAAGGTCAAGGGGACTTCCAACAGTGATGTTCATCTGGCTGAATCCCAAGCATGGGATTCATTGTGTTCATTTGCAGCAACCCCCAGGGTCTTAATTGTCTCATTTTGCACAAATGGAGGAAGGGCCAGTTGTATGACTCATAGTGATGGTATTACTTGAGGAACAATTTAGCTTTGGACTGACATTACCTAACCAGAGATGAAGGCTTGTCCTGAGTTATGGAGTGTCAGGAATGTGTAACCATCAAGAATTCGACCCAAGACATAAGTTCTACCCCAATCCCCACCAATGTATATTGATTTTCCTGTGCTATCCCTTTTTAGTCACTCGTACAAGAGAAAATAGCAGGGCTGAGATCAGAGTACTTTCCTGAGAATTCACCATGGGACGTTGTTTTCATAGGATTTATTGTATTTATAGCTAGGAAAAAATCATAGAGATCATCTATCAATCAGCATTAGGCCTAGAGCCAGGAAAACTTGAGTTCAAATCCAGCCTCAGATACTATGTGACTCTGTTTGCCTCAGTTTTCTCAACTGTAAAGTGGAGATAATAATAGCACCTACCTCACAGGAGAATCAAAAAGAGATAATGAGTTGTAAGAATCAAAAGAGATAATGTTTGTAAAGCGCTTAGCACAGTGCCAGACACATAAGGGACATTTAATGAATGTTTATTTTCTCCCTCTTCTCCTTTATTTTGCAGAAGAAGAAACAGATGTAGAAAGTTAATTGACCTATTAAAGGTCACTTGCTAAAACTGGTAAGTAGCAGAACTAGAATTTGAATACAGGACCTCTTTTCTCCCAAATCCAACATTTTCCCCTAAATCATGCTGTCTTCTTTGAGGAATGGTCACCTCAACTAGGTACAATTGGAGGGTATCTTTTGATCAGGCTATGTAAGTAGAGGGTGGAATATTTAGGTCATTCTGAGAGCTGGGCCGGGAGAGAGGTTCCCTGAAGTTTTGAGATATGTGTCTCTCACACTCAGTCTCACAAATAACCCAGGGTTTCCAGTCTCTAGTTGGAATAGTCAGCTGCTACCCAGTCTTCCTTCCTTGACTGGAGGGCCTCCTTATTCAATTTCTTCTTTTCATGTTTGTCAGTCTCCAGAGTATCAGCCAACACAGCAAGAGGGAGATGGGGTTATCAATGGAAAAGGAAGAGATGACCTTTGCTCAGAGGACTGAGCAAATTTCCAAGATGCCAAATCACTGGACAAAGTTTCCAAGAATGGTGTTTCTGAAGACTAGATTTCTGGAAGGTGGGACAAGACTTGAAGTGAGGGGCAAAGCTGGGGGGGGGGGGAGGACAGGGACAGAAGGGGGAAATAGCAATGATTCTTTTCTCAACTTCCCCAATGCCCCTGGAATTCTCCCAATCTAGACCATGCATGGCAATAATTATAGTCTTTGGGAAAAGGGCAAAAGAGAGAAGAAAAGGGCCAGGAAATGAAAAGGGAATAATAGCGCACATCTATATAGAGTTTTACAGTTAGAAAAATGTTTTATACATAATACCTCATTTGATCCTCACAATATCCCTGTGAAGTAGGTAGTGAAAATGGAAAGAGGTGTCCCTTTCAGATGTGAACAAGGGACATAAACAAGGACAGTTGTGAAAAAAGGCAAGAAAAAAAGGTATCTTTCACCCAGAAACGGTACTTACTCATGTTACCTAAAGCCAAAGTGTACTGTTTCTCAGCATCTAATTTGTATACAACAGATGTGAGGGTTTGGAACTAACTAGAAAACTCTGATTCCTAGAACTCCTTGGTGACTATGGGACAAATATATATTACCTAGTTATGGAGGTGGTAGAAATGTAGATTCTGATTTACCTCCATGAGGCAGAAGTGAATTATCTCACTGAAGAGACCTTGTTTTGGATGAGTTAAGCTGAACCCTCGAAGAAGTCAGAGATCAGGAGAGATCTCTGGTCAAGTCTAGGAAGAAACCCAGAGTTTGCACTGACAAGTGCTGCTTAGTAGCACTACCTGGAGGATGAAAAAGGCTTTTGCTTTTCCCTGAATTGCATCTAACTGCCTGAGAGGCAGAATCTCTCAGAGCCCAGATAAGGAAGCTGGGCTGGAAAAACTACAGACCCCAGGCTTCGAGTTTCTGCTTTTGCTGAAATTACATAGCATCACCTTGGTAGCCCAGAAGGAGGAGCTGCCCAAGTAGAGCAGCTAGCAAAGAAGCAGCCCTACTGAGCAATGAATTGTACAGACTGTTCCTGAGGAAGACAAAGAACATCGAGTCCATAGAACAAAACTTAGCCAAGTGTTTTCTACACATTTACCTGCTATGGTTCTGTAATTTCGTGCCCATTCTATTCCTATGGATATTGTGCATTGGTGGGAAAATATGTCCCTGATTGAGGGGCGGACTAGTATGTTATTATTCTTGTTTTGTCTTCTGTATAATAAACATTTCTAATGAAGAGTTAATAGAGCTCCACTGGCTGATTTGTTAAATGGGCAGCACACCAGTGGGAATTCAGGAGCATAGCATATATAGTGCATAGTAGCAGAACTATATTTCCACCACCAGGGTTACTCCTAGAACCCTAACTAGGTTCTAGGAGTAAGCACCCCATCTGTGAACTTTCCAATCTGCCTTAGGAGTGCAAGTTGGGTGACTGAGACCACCCTGAGAGAGAAGGGTTGGTGAGAATGAGTTTAGGTGCTACGTCACTATTATCATCCCCATTTTTTTCAACATGTGAAGAAACTAAGGCTCAAAAAAGTCAAATTACTTGCCCAAAGTTATATAAGATGGTATGTGGCAAGGCTAAGATTTGAACTGAGGTCTTCCCGGTTCAGTTTCTTTCCACTATATCCCAGCTACCTCTCTCAGGGAAGAGGAAGGAAGGAACAGAAAAGGGGAGACATAGAAGATGGTAAGATGGGTACTTTTATGCTTGCTCCCCTCCTGCCTCCAGAAGGTGAGTGGAATTAAAGCTGTCAAAAAGCATTCTTGGTCTGTTTCCCTATTCCTACATACTACCTGCTTGAGGCATAATTAAGTCAGGCTTAGCAGAAGTGGGAAGAGTGGGAGGAGAAAGTAGAGCTGTCAGGAACAAGGCAGAAAAGAAGAGGACAAAGGCTACACCTCTTACCATAGAAGCTGTTCCTCTAACATTCACTTCTCCAAATCAGGGTTGATTTGGAGCCACATCAAGGGTTAGCCTTCTTTAAATTTGTTGTGGGGAGCATAGAATCAGAAGTAAGGGAGAGGTATAAAAGCTTGGGATAGTGCCGTTTAAGACAAGTATGGGGGGGGGAGCTGTGTGACCCTGGGCAAGTCACTTAACCCTAACTGCCTTGCCAAAAACAAACAAAAAGACAGGTATAGGGCAGGATTCTATCCCAGGTTCTACTGTTGTTGCCCATAAGGCCTTGGCACAAATACCCTCTAGACTAGCTCAACGGTGGACATGGCACAGGGCTGTAAGGAGGAGTGCAGGACTTTGAGAAGCAACAGACTTGAAGGAGTTGCCCAGTATAGTGATAGCAAAGGAGAAGCGGCAAGGACTGCAGCAGCCAGGCTGGGTCTCCAGCTCCAGAGTATATGACTAAAGTTAGGGGCCATACAGAAAAAAAAATCACTAAAAAAAACCTATTGTTTTGAAGTTCAAAGATAACCCTTGTCTAGCATAATTACACTGAATTTTTACATGATGAGAATGCTTTGGTATTTACCCAGGACATCGAAGGATTATTAAGTATTGGGTACAGGGGATTTCTGAACCCAGGAAGTCATTCGGGCTCAGAAGTCAAGATCTAAGAATCTTGGTGCCTGAAACTGGGGTTAGGATCAGTTTTAAAAGCAGTAAAAAGTGAAAGGTCTAGGGCCAAAGGGCTTCAATCCTTTGAATCAGTCCTTGGAGGAAGAGCCAGTGTCCTGGGAGGTAGTTTGCCTAAGGGCAAGGCTGAATTCTTCACTGGTGGCTGTGATAGGAAAGGCACATGGAGAGCGTTCCAGACCCTGGAAGTGTAGGGGAGGACAGAGTGCACAGAGCCTGGCTCCTTTGAGGGGGCCTCCCTCACTTTCAGCTTTTTAATTGCATTCTCTCCACACACAGTAGATTATTGCCTCTCTATGGACAGTATAGGTGGCAGAAACACAAGGGCCTAGCCTAGTCCCTCACTATTGAGTTGTTAGTTCAATTAGGGAAGATACCCTTGCCCTGCTTCCCAAGGACCCAGGTGTCTGAGAGAGGGGACCAAGAGTCAAAAGATGATCTGCCCAACCTCTCAGGAAACTTAGTCATTGGGAATACACTCCAAAGACTGGAACCTTTGTTTTCTCCTATCCAAATATGAAAAAAAGAGTTAGCAAGGTCTGTCCAACAGGGGGCCTCTAGTTTCTTTCCCAGGGATTCTGATTGTTTGCAAGTTTTGCTGGGAGAGTGAAGTTATGGAAGTTGGGGTGGGGAGAGGAAGGTTCAATGGGAAATAGACATATTTCTTACAGAGTGGTGTAGAATCTTTGCTCCCAAAGGATAAAGTCTCTAACCCCTTCTCTTCAGGTATGGTGTCCTCTTTAACAGGGACCAGAAGGAATGCCCTGTGTTATTCAGAGGAAGTAGAGAAAGGGCCTGTTGGGAGAGGACTTGACAATAAGGCATGCCTTTCTCAAGACCAGGGGTCAAGTCCTTTGAGGACCCAAGTCAGGAGGTTGTAGTTTCCAAGGAGGCTGTTGGTGAATTGGGGTCAAACACGAACCAATGGCCTCCCCCACTTCACCTACCATAGACTCATAGTCGAATAGTTTGTTTGAATTTAAAGAGACCTTAGAGATAATCTAATCTAAACTCACCATTTTACAGGTAACCCTTAGGAATAGGTTTACATACAAATGAGGAAGTCTAAAGAGAGAAGAAACTTGCTCAAGGTCCCCCTTGACAGAGGCACTGGAAAAAGCAATTCCTCTACCCTACAGCAGAACCCACAGTTCTAGTCTCTTCTCAGGGATATATCTTCTCCTATGCCGAACCGCTAGCCTGAGCCATGACAGTCCCAGAAGGAAAACACCCACCTTATAATACCCATCTTCCTGGGCCCCCATGATGTGAGCAGCCTCTGGTCTCCTCCTGGGCTGGACACATAGTTCCTGCCTTAACTAAAGCTCTTGTCATTTTGTCTAGTCCTAAACTGCTCTGTGATCTGGGGCAAACTGATGTCTCTGTTCTGTGTTTCAATGTCCTGCTTAGCTAAAAAAAAAAAAAGGAGCTCCCAGAGGTGGGCAGGCCAGGAATGTGGAAGGAAAGGTGAAGGGTAAAAACCTGGGAGCCTAGAGGAGGGGCACAGACCAGTCCAGAGTGTTAGGATTACTGTTGTTAGTCTCTGTTAACGCTGCTGCAGGGGCAGGCCTGGAATTTAATAATCTATAGGTGGGTCCTAAGAGGACACAATCCACACCCACCTGCTGCAGTCAACCCGGAACCCAGCTGTTAAGCGGGAAGCACCGACATACCCTACACCACTCAGGCACAGTCAGTCACACACTGGCACAGGTTCACGGTCAGTCACACTCATTCACACCTCTTCATACACGCTCTGACTCACAAACACACGTGACTTCCCTTTGCAAACTCCTTGCCCTCTACGAGGCTATCCTGGCCTCGCCCCCAAACGGGAGACTAAGGCTCCCATCAGGTGGAGGTAGGGTTCTGGGAGGGCTTAGGCGCTGATCTCCACGGTGCCGGCCTCCTCTTGCTCCCGGATCATGTGCACGCCCGCAGTCCGGAGGGTGCGTGTGGAGCTGCGGGAGCGTCCGGGGGAGCTCGGGGACCGACTGGGGGAGGTGTGCGTTCGGCTAGTGGCAGGAGAACGGGCAGGAGAGCGGGGATAGCGGCGGGCTGACCGGATTGGCAGCCCCGGGGAGCGGCCTGGGGCAGTGGAAGAGATAGAGTAACCCGGTGGGCCTGGCTCAGTGGTGCTCCGAGGGTCGGGGGCAGAGCTCTCCTCCCCTTCTGATGGGTCCTGCAATGGGATGCTAATGGTCAGTAAGCTTAACCAGCTGCTTGCTTGTTCAATTCAATCCAATTCCCCGTGGTTCATAGCACCCCTGCCCCCAATTCTACCCCCAAGTTTAAATCCCATTCAAGTCCTTGCTGGTTTCCCAGCAGGCCTGGCTCCCTGGGACTCTCTGGCCACAGCTTCCTCACCTTATCCTTCAAGATGTACAGGGCCACAGGGTTCTTCCGCTCGTGTTCTCCACTTCTTGGGAGGGTCTCTACTGCCCAAAGAAGACATTGAGGGAATTACCTCCCCATCCTAGGGCACTACAGACCCTATATCCAGCATCATAGTGCTCTTCACACTTGGCACTTTCCAAATCACTCACCCTAGCCCAGAGGTTCTTCACTACTCTCCTGAATCCACACACCCCCTCCTAATCTAAAAATAGCAATCATGTCTCTGATATTCCAGGAATATGTGATTGAACTGATTTCCAATTCTTTCCAAATCAGACTCTGTTATATATAAACCCAGGAGAAAATTTCCCTTGAAATGTTGACCAATCTTGAATTGTCTGGACTCTTGCTCCCCCATCTTAGAATCACCCTGGCCCTTGGGAAATCCACCTGTGTGACACTGCTGCTCTGTTGTTCACCTGAGCTGGATAGGATGGGGAAGAAAAAGTCCAGCTTCTTCCTCTCACCTTCGGGTTTTAGGTGGTCATCATTTTGATCTTCATACTCTAGAGAGCCCTGCTTTTCCAGCTTCCGCTTCTTTCTGCAAAACAGCCCAGGAATCCCTTGAGTAGAGCCATAGGTTTGGGTAAGAGAAGGGCTTGAAGACACAAGGACCTGATGGGCTTAGGAGAAGGCTTGGGACAGGAAGGGTGTTTTTGGTTAATTAGTGACGAAGAAAGAAGAGTGGGTTATGAGAACAGGAAGATACTTCATTTCAGCAGTGTTATTTATTAACAGGGAGATGCTATGTTATAGGCATTGAATAGGTTTAGGTCCTTGGAGGTGGGGAAACAGAAGGGAATGTGAAGGTGTAATCTCTGACCCAGGATGCAAAATTCAGTAGTTACCCAGACTTTTTGGAGGGTTTCCAACATGCGCAGACCGTCACCAAAGTCACAAGGAGAAAGATGCCTCCTGTGGTCAGGATAATGTAGAGAGAGCTTCTCCCTAGAGAAAGACAGTTAGGGAGGTGAGAACTGTTATAGATTGAAATAGCCAAAATGCAGGGAAAGGGTGGTGGAAAGAATTTCTCTAGGATAGAATTTCACTGTAGGACAACAATTCCAGAAGACCAGTAATGAAGCATGCATCTCATCTCTTCACAGAAGTGATGGACTTTAGGATGCAGACTGAGACATACTTTTTGGACAAGGCCAATTTGGGAATTTGTTTTTCTTAACTATGCTTATTTGTCACAAGAGTCTTGGGTTTTTTTTCTTTTTCAATGGAGAGACAGAGGAAGGAGAGAAAATCAATTTCTATTTATTAAAAAAATTAACTTTAAAAAATTCTGTGTAGGGATGATGGGAGTGGGAAATACCAGAGAGGACAACTACCTGATGTTGCTGCTTTCAAGGAACCCATTCCTTTCTGTTTCTATTCATCAGCATAATCATCAAGTATTTAATGAGTAGAGTTTGCTCTTTGCCTTTATACAAACAAATCTGTTATGACACAAATCTGGTCATGAGGTCTTATGGCACCCAGGCTGGAATGATCCCTGTCTCTTGCTGTGGGATACCTGCTCTGTTGAGCTCTGAGCTTTTCCAGGAAAGGATACTCACGATATACAGTAAGCTTGATGGGGACACTTCGACCTTGGCTAATGGGGTTCTCCACCACGCAGCTATAGATATCATCATCTGCCATAAGCACTCGTGTAATGGTGAGCACCTTTTGGTCAGGGGACAGGAGAATCCTGGAGTCATTGCTGAGTGGCTTGCCATCCTTCAGCCAAGTATAGTTGGCTTTGGTACCATTTTCATGGGAACAGTTCAGTGTGAAGGACTCACTGAGCTCCAGGACAGTAGATGAAGACACTACTACTTGTGGCTTTGAGATGGGAACTGGGCAGAGCAAGGGTAAGAAGACTGTGGGTTAGAGACCTGGGAGCCTCACAGTTCCCACTCTCTGCTTCTCATCAACCAGAATTCTTCCTAATACTGAGTCTATGAGCTGACAGAATCCTTCAGGGATCATATTGTCCAATATCTTCCTTCTCTCTCCTTTGATTGAAGCCCCAGAGCCCTCACCCTTTCTCAGGGCTACTGGGCATTACATTTTAAAATAATTTAGCTTTTAAAAAGAAGCTTTGGCTAAATTCAGTCTTGTTCCACCTGGCCTGGCTCAATGGACCTCATTTTTAGCCCCCAACCACCCAATCCCCAGTTCCTGTCCTCTCTTCATGTGGGTGGCCTCTGTGCACTGGATTGACCCCACCTGGCAAAATTTCTGAGTGCTTTATTCAGAAGCTACCTAGACAGGCTCAGTATCAATCCCTGGCCCTCAGTCTCTAACCCACCCCTTCTCTCCAGGTAGCTACAGAGTCTTACCATCCACAGTGAGATTGATAGTCTTTTCTCCAGTGAAAGTATCATCAGTGATGGAAATCTCTACCTCATAGGTGCCCTCATCAGATGTCTGAAGATCACTGAGGAGAAGGGAGCCATTCTCAAAGAGCCTGATTCGGTCACGGTAGTCGAGCCTCAGTGTGCCAATGACTTCAGTGCCAATGGATTGTACCACTGTCACTGGCTTGTCCCTCTTCAGCTGCCACTTAACTACTGGCTTGTCACTGCTAGTGCTACTGTACTGCACAGACAGCAGAGCTGACTTCCCCACAGTACCATGGATCAGATGCACTGGGCTTGTGATGTTCACCCCTTCCAGTGAGCCTAAGAAGAGGCATCCAGGGAGAAAGGGGACAATGTCAGACCTTCCACAAGAAGTAAAGGTTTTGTTTTTACCCCATTCCTTCCACCTATCACTCTGACTTCTCCTTAGTTACCCTTGGCCCTCCACTCCCCTATCTTTTTAGTCTGGACATCTTGATAGCCACCTTTCTGTCTGTCTTGCTGTCCTCCCACCACTACCCTCCAACTCCCTTGCTTTCAAGTTCTGGAACCATGAGAAAATCAGTACTACCATTGTTACTAGAAGGGGTGTGTCGATCTATTTGCCTACAGTTCTACTTAACATCCCTGTAACATTCCAAACCAAGATACATCTTTTCAGCCACCACTACCCTTTCTGTGTTTTTTACCCTTATTAGAATGTAAGCTACTTGAGGGCATTCATTTTTATCCTTGCTATCCCCGTTTCCAGGCTAAATGTTGCTCTCTGATACTGTTTCCCCTATCATTTTCCCCATCCTTAGGCCCCATTGTTTTCTTCCTTTTTTTTCCTGTCCCAGTGCCTTCAATCTAGCTTTCATTGTTGTCCGTTCTCTTTACATCACATTCATCTATTCTTCTGGTCCCTTGGCTCTTTGCCTCTCTCAGCTCCATCTTCTCGACTAAATTCTAGCCAATTCAGACCCCAGGTCTTCCAAAGGTATAATGTGAAATTTCTATCCTTACCACTGTCCCATGGCTCCCAAGAGACAAAGGAGGTCATCTAGGAGTCCCTTATTGCAGGAAAGCAGAATTTCTTTCCTCTTTATGGAACATGTTATCGAATAATCTCAAAGGACCCCATAGCAAATGGAAGGTGGTGGTATCATTCAGTTGTAGGTACCTGACTCTCTCTCCAAAGATGGCACACTGAAGACAAAGGACAGCATAGACTGGCTTCCCCCTGCCTTGTTAAATACCAAATTCAGACAGATACCACGTCCCCCACTCATGCAGGAAACTCCCAGTGGAATCCCCTACCCCTTCTGTTACAAGCAGACTTCAAGATTCAAGATTTCAAGATCACAGGAAAGCATCCTTTTACACTTAAAATTTTCCTACTCAGTTGGTATCTGAAATTTCACAATTAGGACTTCATTCCTTAGGCTTAAGCCAAAGTAGCTGTGTTTTCCATTAGAATGCGAATGCTGTTGGGAGAGGGGGTAAAAGTCACCTTCACTTCATTGTTAATAAGTTTATTATATTCTTTCCTGAGTAAAGTTTTGATTTTGGGGGGTTTGCAAGAGATAGAGAAGGTAGAAGGAACATATAGGTATAGGGGACATGAAAGGAAGAGGAATATTAAGAGGAAAAAGCAAGTAAAAGTAGTCTAAGAGCTTGCAGTCAAACTTCATCATTATGCCTGGATTTGCCCTGCCACCCACCTAGCTCACTACTGCTAGCATCCAAGGAGAAGTTCTCCTGTCTAGGACAATAATGAAAAATGAAAGCCTGTAATATGGAAATATGTTTTACATGATTGCATATATATAACCTATATCAAATTGCTTACTGTCTTAGGGAGGAGGGAGGGAGAGGACAGGAAAGGCAAGGAGGGAGGGAGAAAATTTGAAATCCAAAATTTTATAAAAATGAGTGTTAAAAATTATCTCTACATGTAATTAGAAAAAATAAAATACTATTTTCAAAAAACAGAAAGAGTCTGGTATAAGGAAGTAATCCTAACCCTACCCTCTTCAATATTGCTATATACAGATGGGAAGCTGCATTGCAAAACAAAACAAAACAATGAACTGGATGAGGGTCTGAAACCTTTACCTGGATACTATCTTTGAGACTTAATGCACTTAACTTTTTTTTTAACTTCCAAAGACTAATTTATTTCAAATTAAATACAGATGAACTCCACATTATTCATCTGATATTTTCTTCAGAAGTGCCAACAACAACATTTTGAATTCACTGACAGAATTTGCGATTTAAGGAAATCCTCATATAAATTATTTTGAAATAGCCACTCTTCCAACATATCTGTTTTACAAATAATGTTAAATATCATTTGCTCCTAGTGATGTAAACCTATAAATATATTGGCATTGATTATAATTACTTAGACAATGAGATAGATCTATAATCTCATTGTTGGTAGTCTTTCACTAGTGCAGTTCACAAACACTACATTTTTGTTTTTATATATTTTATAGGAGAAACTTAATTTTTCAAGACCTCAGTCTGCTCATCTGTAAAATGATAGAGTTGAATTAAAATTTAATAAATGTTTATTAAGTATCCACTGTAGGGAGAGAGAAGACACACATCCCTACTTTCGTTCAGCTTAATGTCAAGTTGGGGAATGTGATGTAAATGCAAATAACTACTATAATATAAAATCATGTATGATAAGTACATTAGGGAGGCAAAAACAAAGTACACCAAAGATGGAAAAATCATTATTGAATAAAGCCAAGATGGGGGAAGTCAGAGATCAGGAAACGCTTCCTGAAGGAACTGACATATGAATCACAAAATCACAGAATTTGAAACTAGGAAGGGACCTCTGCAGCCTCCTCATCCAATCCATCCATACAATAACATCCTCAATGTTTATCCAATCTCTGCTTGACCTCTAGGGAGCAGGAAGGTCCCACCATCTCCCAATACAATCCTGTCTACTTTTGTTTTTTGGGTTTTTTTGGGTTTTTACATTTTTATTTTTTTATCTTTTTTTTTGTTGAGTCCCCAGCTTTAATCACTTTTTTATTAATTTATTTTCATTTATCAATAATCATTTCCATATGTTTTTAAGTTTAAATTTTTTTCCTCCCCTTCCTCCCCACAACCCTCACCAAGACAGCATTTACATTCCTATTAAACATATTTTCACATTAGTGATGTTGTAAGTAAAAATTAAAAGCACCAGGAGAAACCATCAGAAAGAGGAAACAAAACTCAACAGAAGAGAAGAAAAATGGCAATTCAATTTCCATAGTTCTTTCTTTGGACGTGGATAGCATTTTCCATCATGAGGCCTCTGGAGGTGTCTTAGATCCTTGTATTGCTGGGAAGGGTTAAGTTTATCAATATTGGTCACTGCACAACGTGGCTGTTATTGTGCATAAAGTTCTCCTGGTTCTACTCACTTCATTCAGCATCAGACCATACAAGTCTCTCCAAGTTTTTCTGAAGTCAGCCTGTTCATCATTTCTTATATCACAACAGTATTCCATTACATTCATATACCACAACTGGCTCAGCCATTCCCCAATTGATGGACATCCTCTCAGTTTCCAATTCTTTGCCACTACAAAAAGAGCTGCTATGAATATTTTTGTACATGTGGGTCCTTTTCCCATTTGTATGATCTCTTTGGGATATAGCCCTAGAAGTGCTATTGCTGGGTCAAAGGGTATGCACATTTTTACAGCTACAATCCTGTCTACTTTTGAACAGCTCTAATCATTAGGTTTTGTTTTTCTTTTTCATGACATCAGGCTTAAATTTGTCTTTAAAACTTCTAACCACTGCTTGTGGTCTTGCCCTCTGGTGCCAAACAGAACAGGCCAAACAGAACAGGCCTAACCTCTCTTTCATATGACATCTCTTCAAACACTCGAAGAGAGCTATCACATATCCCCCAAAGTCTTTTCTTTTAGAGGCTAATTATGTCCACTTCCTTAAACCAATCTTCATTCCACATGAATTCAAGGGCCTTCACCATCTTGCTTGTCCTCTGGACAACATTAATGTCCTTCTTAAATTGTAATATAACTGAACTCAAAACTCCAGATGATGTCTGATGAGGGCAGGATACAGTGGTACTATCAATCCCCTATTCCTGGAAGCTATACCTCTCTTAATGTAGTCCAAGACCAAATTAGTTTTTTTTGTCAGTCACCTCATACTGCTGACTCAAATTGATCTTGTAGTCCACAAATCCTTTTTTCAGAACAGCTGCTAAACAACTGTCTCCCCCATATTATACTCCTAAAAATTTTCTGAACAAAAATATTTACATTTATACCTGTTAAACTCATGCCTATTAAATCTCAGACTTGACCCAATGCTCTAGTTCAGGGGGTCAGTAAACCACAACTTGTGAGCAAATGTAGCCTGTGCCTGTTTATGGCCTGGGAGCTAAAAATGTTTGTTTTACATTTTACAATCAAGTTTTATTATACTTAAAAATGTAAAAAAGAAATCTTAGCTGGTGAGCTGGATTTGGCCTGTAGGCTGTAGTTTGCCAGTCCCTACCCCATCCAGTCAAGATCTTTTGGGGAACCTGCTGCCTCAAACCCACATGTGGCCTTTTAGGTCCTTAGATATGGACTTTTGACTGAGTCCAACTTCTACAAAACAAATCCTTTTATTAAGGAGATTTGTTCTGTGAAGTTTGGATTTAGTCAAAGGGCTGCACTTGAGGACCTAGAGGGTCACATGTAGCCTCAAGGCTGCAGGTTCCCTACCCCTGGATTATAGGTAGAATTCCCGCACTGAACATCTCCTAAAGTCCCTTCCAATGCTGAGATTCTATAATTCTATTAGTAGTACTCCTTGCTTAGCAATAGCCATGACATAGGCCTTAGATTGATTTAAAAACAGTAATTATACAACACAGTAACATTAAATAACCTTTTAGAGTTTGCAAAACATTTTCTTCACAATAATCCTATGAGATAAGTAGTCCAAATATTATCCTACAAGTGAAGAGTTTGAAACTCAGAAAGTTTAAGTGACTTAACCAAGGTCACACAACAACAATAATAATAATACCTAACATTTGTATAGTGCTTACTGTATGCCAGGTACTATGCCAAGTGCTTCACAGTAATTATCTCATTTGATCCTCACAACAGCCCTAGGAGATATGTGCTATTATTATGCTACAGATAAGGAAACTGAGATAAATAGAGGTGAAGTACCTTTCCCAGAGCCACATACTATAAGTATCCAACTCTGGATTTGAACATAGGTCTCTCTGACTCCAGGCCCAGCCATTTATCCACTGCACCACTTAGCTGTCCCCAAAGAATGACTCTTAGAAT